GCAGCAGCAGCAGCAGCAGCAGCAGCAGGTGGCCTTCCAGAGCAGCTAGACTAGAGAAGCCCCAGGCTGGGTTTCAGTTTAACTCTGTACATTAGGTTTTCTCTCCAGTACACACCGATCAGCTAGTTGCTGCTGCAGTTTAGTTGCCATTCGAGCCCTATTACGTCTTCCACTGCGGCGACTGCAACGGCAGCAGCAGCAGCTGCTGCTGCTGCCTCCACGACTGTCTTCCTTTCAGAAGAGCGTCTTTTCATGGGGCCCTCACGGGGGCCGCGACTTACGTCAGTCGGTCTCGTTGCGGTAGCAGCGGCAGCAGCAGAAGCTGCAGCAGGAGCTGTCTTCCCTTTCACTTCTGCCAGCAGCAGAACCGCCCCTCGAAAAACGCCAGCAGCGACGAGAGCAGCACGACCAACCGCTGCAACAGCACATTCCTTTGGAATAGCTACGACATTCCAGAGACGCAGCAGCAGCAAGAGCAGCATAGCAGCCAACGAGAGGAGCAACAGGAGCTGCAGACGCCATACGATAAACTGCGCTTATGTGAGCAGTACATCTGACAACTTGGATGCGGAATTAGTGGCGACACCAACAACAGCGGCAGAATCAGCACCAGCAGCGAAGACAGCACCAGCAGTTGCAGCAGCTGCAGCAGCAACGGCCTCAGAGGGTAACCGCAGCAGCGGCAACCGCCCCAACAGCAGCAGCAATAACAGCAGCAGCAGCAGTACGGAGCTATGGACCGCCATGTGTATGAGATTGAGTTGGAATGCCGCGAGGCATGCAGCCGCTTGAGCAGCTCTCTAGAGGCTGTTAAGCGACACACAGGAGGTACACCCACTTGCCGATATTATTATTAGTATTACTACGGCTACTACTCCCTCTACTGCAGCTGGAGCTGCTGCTGCTGTTGCTTGTGTGTGGGCTGGCTGTTGCGGGTTCTGTTGCTGCTGCTTTATGCTCTATGCCTTCTCCGTGTTGCTGCTGCTGTAGCTCATGCAGCCGCTGGGGCTCCTTGTGCTTCTTTTTCGGCCATGGCGATCTTAGAACACCGCGTCTGATACGCATAGAACGTTTGCTGTTGCTGTTGTTGCTGCTGCTTGTCAGAGGACACTTCTGTTTTGGAGCGTTTGGTGGCGAACTGTCGGCGCGAAGTGAATCTGTTTATGGACGGGGTGGGGAACTTTATTTGTTTCTGCTGCCGTCTATGTGTGTCTGTTTGTGCCGGGATGTGGGTTAATACATGCATATGCATGCATCTCCTATGCAGATGCAGCTGTTGGCGCGATGCGTTGTTCTCTGGTGTCCTTCACTCTCTGTCTCCTGACTGCTGCTGCTGCCTCTTCCTGTGCGGCTTCTGAGCGCTGCTTGTCTCTCGCTTTAGATCTCGTCTCCACCCCAGGAGGCACTTAGATAGTCAGCTAACCAGGAAGCCAGCGAGCCGCATTTCACCGTGTCGCGGATAGCCATCGCTAGAGGGGCGACAGCTAGCTAGGAGACAGCAAGGGAGCAACTAGCCAGGAGGAGTCAGGGAGACAGCCAGCTGGNAAAATATTTTGCTCCTGCGCAGCTGCGACACTTGGAGCTGGAGGCCCATTTCGAGTCCCCCACAAACGCCAGAGGCCCTAATCCCCCAGGCAGCGTGAGACCTCCCTCAGTCTGCTGCACCCGCATCAGCAGCGGCTGCTGCTGCAACTTGTGTTGCTGCTGTTGCTGCTGCTGTTGCAGCTGCAGTCGCTGCTACTGCTGAGCGGTTGCTGCCGGGACAACCTTGGTGCAACACGCAGCAGCGTAGTCTTGGGTGTGACATGAGGATTGAATGCAGTGGCAGCAGCAGCAAAAGCAGCAGCAGCAGCAGCAGAACTAGCAGCAGCAGCTGATGCTCTAGGAAGGGTATGCGCGTTGTGGTGGTGCCTCTGCAGCTTGTGGAGCTGCGCCAGCAACTGCGGGTACTGTCTGCTGAAGTTGACGCTGCAGAGAGGCGGCTATTTGTAGCCAACGGTATGTTAATGCTGCTGTTGCTGTTGCTGTTGGAGGGTTCGCATTTCTGCTTCTTCATATGCTCTGTTCTTGTTTTCCGGATGGTCGTAGGATCAGATGTTAAGGGCCTAGGGATTGGACCCACTTATGGTCTAGGGTTTAGGGTTTAAGATCTATGGCTTGGGGTTCAGAGCTTAGGGTTTAGGGGTTGGGATTTAGGACTCGGCGTCAATCTGCTGCAGGGGGGGCCCAGCGCGAGAGTCCACTGGGGAGTGAAGGGAAGATGGCTGAAGGCTGCAAGCAGCTGGAGGTGAGAAGATGGCGACGAGACAGCCAAAATAATGAACGCAGAGACAGAGACCGACAGAAATAGATGCTTAGGAGAACAGAGATAAGGACAGAGACAGAAGTAGAGGCGGACAGATAGGGACAGACAGAGGTAGAGACAGAGGTAGATACAGACAGCGATAGGGGCAGAGATAGGGGCAGGCAGAGGCAGTGACAAAAAATGATGGGGACAGACGGAGCCAGAGTCAGACAGAGACAGCGACAGACGAACATAGAGCCAAATACAGACACGGAGAGTTGGACAGAGAGATACAGATAGAGACAGAGACAGGGAGAAATAAGGAAAGAGAGACGAAGGTAGAGCCAGACAGAGAAACAGAGAGAATGACGAAGGGAGTCAGGAACAGCAAGAAAGACAGTGATAAAGACAAACACAAAGAGGGGAAGACAGAGGCAGAGGTAGAGATATAGACAGAGAGGAAGGCACAGACAGATGATGAATGAATATAGCGAGACACAGAGACAAAGATAGAGAGAATGAGAGGCAAAGGGGCAGTAGCGACATAGTCGAGGAGGGGGATTAAAGAAACAAAGACAAACGAAGAATGAGACGAGTTGTAAGAAACCTGGGAAGAGCAAACGCCGCAAGAAGGCTTTCAGCAGCAGAAAGGGAGAGTCCCGTCTACAGAAACAAAGAGAAGAGGCACCCAGAAGAGACACACAGCTAGCCAGATGACCAACGCACGTCTAGCGACTGCTACAGCTGATGCTGCTGCTGGTGACTTTGGTACTCCTACAGGCTTTGCTGCTACGTTGCTGCTGTTGGTGACTTGCTGCTGTTGCTGACTTTGCTGCTGCTGGTGACTTTGCTGCTGCTGCCGAGTTTGCTTCTGCTGCTGCAGCGGGCGCACATACTGGCTCTGGAGACTGAACAGGTTGGTAATTATATCTCGGCTACGTTGGGGGCGCAGCGGCAGACGATCCTCCGTACGCGGGGCCAGGTTTGTCTTGCATGCGTCTTCAGGTTTGCTGCTGTGTTGTGTCTGCTATCTTCTCGAGCAGCAGCTGTCAACAGTTGCATGCTTCTCTGTCTTTGCTTTTCTTTGTCTCTATGCAACTTCTGTTTGCTTCGTTTCTTTCTTCTTCTGCTGCGCCGTCACCTGCACCCACTCGCTCTCGATGCTAAGCGATATACACATTCTCTATCGGGCTCAGCAGCATCGCCTGCCCCTGCTGGTCAAGGGGTCTCCCCACATCTGTTGCTGCTGCTGCTCCCACTGTTACGCCTGCTGCTGCTGTTGATACATCTGCCGTTGCTCCTGGTCCTGCTACTGTCGCTGCTCCTACTGGTGATACTGCTGTTGCTTTTGCTGCAACTGCTGCTTGGGAAGCTGCAACTGCTGCTGCTGCTGCTGCTGCAGCTATTGTTGTTCTTGCTGCTGACTTTGCCTGCGTGATTCAGGTGTCTCGCTGGGGCGATTCTTTGGCTGAAAGTCGGGCTTCAATCTCCCGGATGGTGTGTCTGCTGCCTGCTGGTGATTTCTGTCTGCCTGTCTTTGCTCTATCTCTTCACTCATTCTGTCTCGGTCGCTTTTCAAACCTCCGTTTGTCTCCTTTTGTTTTGAGGCACTCAAATCTGTCTTTCTGTCTTCAGCCATTCTCCCCCTATCTAATATGTGTCTGTGCCCAGTACATCTCTGTCCTTAATGCATTCCTTTGTCTCTAACGCATTTCTCAGTTTCTAACACGTTCCTAATACATTTCTCTCCAGTACATTCATTTGTCTCTAATACATCAATATGTCTCTAATGTATTTCTCTGCCTCTATCACGTGTTTCTGTCTCGAATAGGTGTGTCTGTCTCTAACATGTATCTCTGAAGTGAATACGTTTCTCTTTCTCTAATGTAGCTCTCTGCCTTTAGTACAGATCTCTGTCTATGTACAGCGGCTTTCTCTGCGCTCACTGCCATTTGCTTTGTGCGCCCATGCATTTTGCCCCTTAAGTGGTGTGCTGCTGCTGCGGCTGCAGCAGGTACTGCTGTCGTCGTTGCTACTGTTGCAGCCGCTGCTGCTGTTGCTGTTTCTTTTCCTGCTGTCGCTACTCTTATTGCTTCTTCTGCTACAGTTGCTGCTGCAGCTGTAGGCGTCCGCTGTTGCCGCTGTGCTCTGCTGTCTGCCACTTTGCAGCTGCGGACGAACCGTTTCCGTCATTTCTTCTTGCTTTGTCTGATAGCCTGTATTTGCTGCTGCATGGTGTATGTGATGCTGTCGCGGGCGCTGTGGCGTCTAGGCCTGGCCGGCGGCAGCAGCAGCAACAGTAGCGGCAGCAGCACAACAGATGGAGCTCCAGCAGCAGCAGCAGCTGCTGCTGGTATTCAAGGGTCTCATGCTGGACAGGCCGAGCTGCCCATCCCTCCTCTTTCCGACAGTGCATCTACGCCAGAGGAACAACAGCTGCAGCAACAACCGCAGCAGCTGCAGGAACTGCAACAGCAACCGCAACAAACGCTGCCTCTTACGGGCCGCGACAAGTTTAATAACCTGCAAAGGCACGTACGCGAGAAGCGCGAGCAGGAGCAACAGCTGCAGCAATTGCAGCAGCAGCAACAACAGGAAAAGCAACAGCCTTCCATGCAGCACCAACAGCAGCCGCAGATGCCAAAGACGTCAGTGCAGGCAGGAACGCAGGTCTCTCCTCAGCAGCAGCAGCAGCAGCAGCCACAGCAGCAGCAGCAACCACAGCAGCAGCAGCAACCACAGCAGCAGCAGTCTGCGCAGCAAACTCTACAGCATGCTTCGGAGCAGCAACAAACTGCTCTGTCCCAGCAGCAATCGCTTATGCCGCAGCAGCCTCCTTTGCAGCAGCAGCNGCAGCAGCAGCCTCCTCTGCAGCAGCAGCAGCAACCTCCTGCTCAACAGCAGCCTCCTTTGCAGCAGGAGCAGCTGCCTGTGCAGCAGCAACCTCCTGCGCAGCAACAACAGCCTGCCTTGCAGCAACAGAAAGCTGCCGTGCAAGAGCAGCAGGATCCTTTGCAGCAGCAGCAACCGCCTCGGCAGCAGCAGCAGGCTCCTTTGCAACAGCAGCAGCCTCCTCTGCAGCAACAGCAATATCCCCTGCAGCAGCAGCAGTCTGCCTTGCAGCAGGATCAATCACGTGTACTGCGGCTGCAGCCTCCTTTGCAGCAGCAGCATACTGAGCAGCAACAGCAGGTTCCTTTGCAGCAACAGCAATCTCCCTTGCAGCAGCAGCAACCTCACCTGCAGCAGCAGCAGTCTGCCTTGCGGCAGGACCAACCTCTTGTAGTGCAACAGCAAGCGCCTTTGCAGCAGCAGCAGGCGCCTCTGCAGCATGAAGAACCTTCGCAGCAGCAGCAACAGCAGCTGCAGCAGTCTTCTCAGGACCAGCAACCAGCTGGTCGTCAGCAGCAGGAGCAGCTTCCTGTGCAACAGCAAGAGGCTGTGCAACAGGCACAGGCTCTGGGGCAACCGTTGCAACAGCAGAGTCCCCTTGCAGCACCAGCAGCAGCTAACGCTCCAGCACCAGCTGCTGGAGCCGCTGCTGGCGCGACTGGGACGTGAACGCGGTTTAGGGGCAGGCGAGAGGCAGATGGCAATAAAACAGCCATAGGCTTAACAGCGACACAACAACAGAATTAGCAGCAACAACACTGCAGTGTACTCCTGCAGCTGTCTTCTGATGCTGCTTATAGGATGGGTTTTGCACCAGGCAGTTGCTGAATATTCCCTTTACCATCAGCAGCTGCAGCGCCAAAAGCAGCAGTTGCTACTGCATCTGCTACAGCAGCGGCTGAAGCCCCAGCACCATAATTTGCTACTGTAGCTACTACAGCATGAGTGCCAACAGCATCCGTTGCTACTGCAGTTGCTGCAGCAAGAGCTGCAGCTTCGCTCCACTAGTGTTTCTGGTGGGGGTCTGCCTCAGCACGCCTAGAGGGACTTTTTACAGCCGACAGGATTTATTAATTTTTGTTGTATCTGCTGCTCCTACTGCAGGTAGTTGTGCTGCGGCCGTTGTAGTTGCTAGTTCTGCTGCAACTGCTGTTGCTGCTAGTTGCGCTGCAGATGCTGTTGTTGGTAAAGGTGCAGCAGCTACAGGTGCCACCCAGAGGTCCTTGAGACATGAAAACCTCCAGTAGCTTGCATTGGCTAGCTGGGAAGGTGCGAGGTGCAACTGGCTGGCAGCGCCAGCTAGCCCCTGTCTAGCTCATTGAAAGAAATGTGTAGACTCAGCGTTTTTGCTTGCACATCCTCCCTTTGTTCGGGATGCTGTAGCCGCATGCAACAGCGGCAGCAACAGCAGCAGCGGCAGCAACAGGAGGAGGCGCTCTTTAGCAGCCAAACCACGTGCATCGGTAGCAGCAGCTGCTGCTACTGCTACTGGTCCTTGTTGCGACGGTCTGTTCCTACTGCTCTTCCGCGGTAACATGAACAGCCTGAAACAACTAAACAACTCAAAATCAGGTGAAGTCTGATGGTTGCCCCTGCGAAGCGCTTTGAGAACAGCGGGCACAGCAAAAAGCAGCTAGCCAGCAGCTCGCCAGACGGGCGTACATATAACCAGTAGCTAGCCAAAGGGACTCACAGCTAGCCAGTAGCTAGCCCAAAGCTAGCCAAAGGGACATACAGCTAACCAAAAGGGCCACGGTAAGGCACTAGCCAAGCAAACCAGGGCCGCTAGCCAGCGGGCTAGCTAGCTACAGCCCTACAACTAGTCACACAGCAAGCCAGCCAGAGAAAAAATTGGATGCCGCCTCCCAGAGGGGAGCAGCAGCAGCATACGAGCTGATGGGGAGAAGTTGTTTGCAGACTGTCAGCAGTAGTTGCTCCTTCTACTGTTGCTGCTGCAGCCTTCAGCGCCTTGCTGGTGCTGCTGCCGCAACCAGCACGGAAATGAGGGCCTGGGCCGTCAAGTGGCGGACCGGCTTACACCTGCGCCTGCTGCTGCTGCTGCTCCCTGCGGCGACTGCAGGTGCCTTGTGCAGCTGGGTGAGGCTGAAAATCACGGGAGCAGCAGCAGCACCCTCAAGCGAAGACGCACCACCGGAGCTCCTCTCACTGTTGCAGACGGACAGCGGGATGTATTGGCTGCTGCTTGAACTGAGCCAAGGGGCCAAGTCTTCAGGACTATGGGCGGCTTGAGGAGGGGGCCCATCTTGCTGCTGCACCTCGTGCTGGTGCTGCAGCAGTTGGTGCGACCGCTGCAGCTGCTGCTGCTTCCTGTTGCTGCTGGTCTTTTGTTGCTGCTGTATTATTGCGTGGTACTTCACGCTGGGGTGCCGCCTCAGGGACTCCTGAAACCGGGACACTTCGATGACAGGCTGAATCCGCATCACCGCCTGAACAGGAGCAGCGTCAGAGTGGGCAACAGCAGGGTGAAATGAAAAGCAAGGCGGTCCAACGCCGGCAGCAACCCCACAGGGAAGCGCATGCACAAGGCCGCAGTAGCAGCTACTGCTGCTACTGCACTGCAGCAACGAGATGGCTGAACGATTTAAGCAGCAGGCATCAGCAGCAGGTGCAGCACCGGCAGCAGATGCAGCAACAGAAGCAGCAGCAGTTGTTGTCTTACTGCGACTCCCCGCCGTATGAGGCGGTTGGCAACAGCAACGCCCAAGGGAACGAGGCGGCTGCTGGCAGTCGTGAGGACGACCCAAGGTTCGCTGCTGCACCGCAGCTGCTGCAGTGGGCAGTGATGCAGCAGTGGCATCTGCTGCAGAGGCTCCTGCTGCAGCAGCAGCAGCTGCTGCTGCTGTTGTGAGGGGCCGCCGCCCACTTCGTCGACGGCCTCTCCGCCTTGCTCCGGTGCACTATGGGCGGATGAAAAGGGCATTGGTCCTCCGGCCTGGCGCTTTTGTTGCTGTTGCTGTTTCAGCGCAGCAGCTGCAGCTGCAGCAGCAGTTGCTGCGTCGGCGCCAGCTACTAAAGAAATAACAGCCTCCAGGTCAAGATCAAAAGACAGAATGAGGAAATTCTTGCGGGGCTCCACTACCCCCAGAGGAGCGCCTCTCTGGCCCTCTTTTGCCGCTGCTGTTGCTGAGCTGGATGCTGCAGCAGTACTATCGGTGGCCTCTGCAGCACCTGAACCACACACTGCTGGGGTGCTGCTGCTGCTTGCAGCAGCTGTTGCATCAAAGCTCACGTATGGAGACGGTTTCATGTACCCGCCACCTCCTACTCTCATAAACTGAGGTAAAGCGTGCAGCAGCATCGACGCCCGGTTCCGTTGCTGCTGCTGTTGTTGCTGCTGCTGCACGGGACTTGCGGCGGCCGCTGGGATGGGTGAGCCTACGTTCGGTGAGGACGCCCTCAAGATGGAGACATTCAAAAAGACGCCAAAGACGAGCNAAGCAAAAACAACAACAGCAGCAGCAGCAGCTAAGGAAACGGTCTAGCTCAGCAGCAGCATCAGCAGGTACGGATCTCACCCCGAAGTCGTAGTTTAAACTTTCTGGCGGCAGCAGCAGCCGCATACAGCAGCAGCGGCCCGTTGAAGCGTCTGATGCTGCCTGCAGCAACAGCGCAAGGTGCAGGCCATGGCTAAGCTCCCTCTCCACCACGGCTGCTGCTTCTGCTGCTGCTGCACCGTCCCAAAACAACTGCTGGAGCAGCTCTTCATCTTCGTCCTCCTCCTGCAGCAGCAGCTGCTGCTGCTGTACCGTTGAAAGGCAGTCACGGGCTCTTTGCAGCAAGAGCAGCAGCTCTGAGGGCTCCCCTGAAAACGCCAGCAGCTGCTGCAGCTGCTCAGCAGCAACATCCAGCCCCTCCTCCTCCAGGTCCGAGAGTTGCTGCAGCACCAAAGCAAAAGCGGCAGCGGCCCACTGGGATTGCCTTAGGGTGCAGCAGCAATACCAGCAGCAGTAGCAGCAACATCAGCCACAGGGGCAACAGATGCAGGAACAGAAGCGATAGAACGCCATTGTGNGCAGCAGTAGCAGCAACATCAGCCACAGGGGCAACAGATGCAGGAACAGAAGCGATAGAACGCCATTGTGGCAGAGACCCACATAAAGAATTTTGCTGCAGTCTTCCACAGACACACACGGGCGCTGCTGTATTTGGTGCGCGTTGTCTTGATAAGCCTGCCGCTGCAGCTGCAGCTGCTGCTGCAGCTGCCGCTCGTACTGCAGCAACTGAAGCACTGCTTCCTCCACGTCCGAATGAGGGATACAAAAAAACAGCCTGGCAAGCAGCAACAGCAGCAGCAGCAACCGCTTGAGACAAGGCCGCAGCAGTGGGGGCTGCCACATACACGAAAGTGCCCCCTGCCGCCGCCGCTGCAGCAGCAGCAGCACTGTGGAGCACTGAAAGGCTTCAAAATGCATCGGTACAATATGGACCAACCAGCAGCCACCACGCGCAGCAAGGCAACACTAGAGAAACAATCAGGAAAAGCAACAACAGCAGCAGCAGTGGCTGCAGCAGCAGCAATGGGACCAGCAGCAGCTGCAGCAGCTCACTCTAGCAGCGGCCGCAGGAGCTGCGGCAGCGCGAACTCAATTGTGCCACAAAAAGGAGGAAACCCAGCAGCAGCCAGCAGGTTGTGCAGTGAAGTGACTGCAGCAAGTAAGAGCTCCCCCTCAGCAGCAACAAGCTGTTGCTCCTCGATAGACAGCAAACCCAGCAGACGCTGCAGCAGCTGCTGATTTATCCCCTGCTCCTCCTGCTGCTCCTGCTGCTGTTGCTGAACCTTCCGCTGCTGCTGGTGCTGCTCACGTTGCTGCTGCTGCTGCTCTCCTTGTTGCTGCCCCTGCTGTTGCTCGTGCTCTAGCTGCCTGGGTGTGTGGGGAGAACTGATCGAGGGGCTCCTGGAGCTGCTGCTGCCTGTGGCAAGCCCAAGTTGGGCGCCGTATGGAAGCAGCAAATGCTGCAGAACGAGTGGGTGTTGTCTTTGTTGCTGCTGCTGCTTCAGAGGGTACAGAATCTGAAAGCAGCCAGCGAGCTGCGGTAGAACCTGACCGAATGGGCCGCGAACGCTCTCGCTCTGTTGCTGCTGCAACCCAAAACACACAGCATCTCCCGCAGCAACGGCCGCTCCAACAGGGGCAATTGGTACATAGACTTTGCAAGTTAGCGGCAGAAGCAGCAGAAGTTGCGGCGGCAGCAGCATCAGAAATACGGGAAATGCATCAAACGCAGCAATACATTTCTACAGCAGCAGCTGCCGCTGGCAGCAGCAAGTTGCCGCCTCGTGCCTCACCCCCGATGCACAAGCTGGCCCAACACAAAAGCGCTTGAAGAT